CTTGCCTCCCGCTGGCGGCTACGGCGCGTACTACACAGAGTAAGTGACTACTTGATTTGGTGTTTTTGCTGTGTTGTATATTATCCAATGTGGTATTTAACCACCCTTGATGTCCCCTGGCAGTTACGGCTTCAAAGAGAACATGCGCGCCCTCTCAACATACCTTCAAGAGACACAGCGCCAGCACCTGCTCGAATCCCCGTGGATAGGGATTCAACTCGACGAGAGCACGGACCGTGTGAATGGGAAATGTCAACTTATATTTGTAACTGCCTGTAGCTGTAGTTAGTGTAGTTATTTAAACTTTGTATTGGTGGTGCACCTTATGTGTTTCCTTTGCTATATGTACTTCAAAACTATAGTGAAGCCACACATTCTCCCAACTTCTCTCAACTCACTCGATACTCTCCCCTAGGTGAAAATCCCGTTCGATACCTAAGTTCGGGCCTAGGCTACTAAGCCTAGGCCCCACCTCTTAACTTACCTATTACTCTCGACATGTTATCGGAGCTTTTTACGACCTGGCCTGTGGGCCCGCCCTACGCTTCCGCTATGATTTTTCGGTCGCGCGCCTAGGGCGCGTGACGATTTTTACTTAGTCCCGCCCACGGGACTACTACTACTCTGCCCGTCGCGCGCCCCGTGGCACGCGACGGTGCCCTTCATCTGCCCATCGTGCGCCCCGTGGCACACGATGGTGCCCTGCTCGTCGTGCGCCCCTAGGCGCACGATCGGGCCCTTTTTCTTCTACTACCCGTCGTGCGCCCCGTGGCACTGGCACGCGACGGGCCTTTCCGCCCCTGCTCTCCCTGAAGCCGCCCCTGACCCATCTGCACCGACACCTTTTCGCCGCTCTGCGGCTTTCTTCCTTCCCACCCCCTTCTTCCTTTGTCTCCCTGCAGCCGTGGGGAGGAGGGTATGGGGGTGGAGGGTGTTGGAGTGTGGAGTCAACTCTCTCCCTTCCCCTCCTCCTTCTTTCAGTCCCACCGCTGCAGCTGCCGCTGGGGGGGGAGGGTGTGAGGATGTGGGGGAGCAGGGGGAGTGGTACCGGGGTGGCGGGTGTGAGGCAACATGCAGCCATCCCTCCACCTCTCCTCTCTTCCCCCCTTCTCTGCTGCTCCTGCAGCAGTTTGGGGGAGGGGAAGGAGGAGGGTGAGGAGATGGAGGAGGTGACCACTTAGTGTCAGCCCGCCTGCATTACCTGCTGTTGCTTACCTTTTATTTTGCATGTGTACACCTGCAGGTTGCATTCTGCACATACTCCTGCTGCAGGCAGTTATGGGGGAGTGTCAACTTATATTTGTAACTGCCTGTAGCTGTAGTTAGTGTAGTTATTTAAACTTTGTATTGGTGGTGCACCTTATGTGTTTCCTTTGCTATATGTACTTCAAAACTATAGTGAAGCCACACATTCTCCCAACTTCTCTCAACTCACTCGATACTCTCCCCTAGGTGAAAATCCCGTTCGATACCTAAGTTCGGGCCTAGGCTACTAAGCCTAGGCCCCACCTCTTAACTTACCTATTACTCTCGACAGGAAACACCTCATTCTATACGCCACGTTCTTCCAGCACACCACTGTGGTTACAAAGTTCTTGACTCTGGTTACTGTTGACCGTTGTGATGGTGCCTCACTCACATCCGCTGTTGTGCAGTATCTGACAGGTATCGGGCTGGATCTCCAGAAGATATCCAGCGTCGCATCCGATGGTGCCAGCGTCATGGTCGGCAAGAACCGAGGAGTCGTGACACGTCTTCGCATGCGTATTCCGCATCTGGCTTCAACACACTGTATCGCGCATCGGTAAGCATCACCGTAGTGTGCTCCGTGCTGCTCGCTTACCAACTGCTCACGCTGACTAACAATATGCCGTGTTTCCTGTATGTACAGGGAGGCACTCGCTGCCAGTGATGCTGCAGAAGAGGTACCTGACCTGCTAATGATCGACGACGTCGTGCGCGCCTTCGCTGACCACATCGGCCGCAGCAGCGTAGACTACGCAAAGTTTCAAGAGATGCAGCGGATTTTCTGCCAGACGAATCTCGAGGCGCAGGGGATTAGCGACACACGATGGCTCGCCCGCGGTGAAGCGGTACAGCGCCTGCTAGACGTGCTCCCAGCGGCCATTGTGGTGATGAAGGATAACAAGGCGGATCTCTACGAGGTGATGACCTTGTTCAAGTTCCACTGGCTCATCCGCTTTCTTGCGGATGTGCTTTGGGAACTGAACAGCCTTAACATGCGATTCCAGCAGCGCCAGGTAAGCGTCTTTGTTGCTGGCATTTTTGTTGTCGCTTGCAAGCACGTGTACTAACTAAGTCGGTGCGATCCCCTTGTGCAGGTGGACGTAACCCTTGTTGCGCACATCGTGCAGCAGACAAGGATGTGTTTGAAGACGCGGTATTCCCTCCGCGACCCTGTACACCATTTCGGCAGCGGCGAGAAAATGCAGCTTCCCGAGTTCATTCAGAGGCACGGGGCAAAGGACAAGCGCGAGATGAAGGCGAAAGTCGTAGATGGGGAAGGGAATCCCGTCACGTTTGAGTTCACGCTGCACGAGCGCCCGCTGCCTGGACACGAGACGGAAGGCGATGTCACTGCGTGCGTCGAGCTGTCGATCAAGTACGTGCGCGCCATTGATAAGGAGCTGGAATGGCGGATGCGCGACCTGGAGCTCCTGGAAGGCTCGAAGTTCTTTCGCACAGCCTCGTACGTGTCCGACGACACGAAGCGACTGGAAACGTTCAAGAAGTGGCTCGGCCAACTGCACAAGTTATACCACCACAAGCTGCCTGGTAAGCCTTCTGTAGCGCTTGCACATGTTCTGATGTTTGTTGTCACTTTCATGCCTGACATTAGGTTAACCATTGAACATCCTGCATACTGTGGCCTGTTGGACTAATGCCCCCCACCCCTACCCGTGTGTGCGAGCATCGGCTTAGCTTTCACCCGCACTCCGCCCCACCACAGGGTTCGACTACAAGAGAGCCCAGCAGGAGCTGTGGATGTTTACATCCACAATGTTCGCCCAACAAAACAACGAGGAATTCCATCAAGCGCTGACGAATATGCTGCGGGATGATGCATGGCGTGTCTCCTTCCCCAACATCATGCGGATGTGGCAGTCAGTGGCCGTGCTGCCATTGAGCACGGTTGAATGCGAGCGTGGCTTCTCGAAGCAGAATCTGATCAAGACGTGGGGCCGTGGCAGCCTTGGCGGCACAAGCCTGGAGCATCTGATGCGTTGCTCCCTGCTGCGGTACGATGTCGACTGGTTTGAGGTGGTCGCTATCTTTCGTGGAGAGAGGCTGAGGCGATCCACCAGGGAGTTCGACCCCACGAGAGCTTCACAGACACTATTTGTAGAAGATGTAGGCAGTGGGGGTGGCACTGAGTAGGTGTGTACTTCATGCATGACTGTTGTAGAGTGAATGGACTTTGGGTGTATTACTTCATTTCTGATTTTATTAAAACCGTAGCTCACAAAACTGTAACCAAAACAGAATTGGCCCGAAAATACCCTTCTCAATTCAGCCTAGTGCCAGAATTACCCTGCTGAAATCAGGCTACGGAAAATTCTACCCTAGGGGTCTGTTCTAGGAGAGCCTGGTACCCTGATTTGCAAGAGTAGGCCTAAACCAATTTTGGGCCCTGAACTTGACCCTCGTTGTCCGCAATTTGGGACGCGGGCCTTAACGACTCCGTCCGTTCACTGTAAACTCGTTATGGCTTCTTCACTTCAGGGTATAGCCACACAAGCTTTTGTGTGTTTGCCTGCTTACAAGTAGTTCTGGTTGGTTTAGGCTCGTTGGGCTTTGGCTGCTTTAGCCATATTTGTGCTATGCCTTGTAACGGGTTACGACCAGGGGAAATTTTATCAGGGTAAATCACCCTGATACCCTGATAATCAGGGTGGTTTTTGGGGGTCACACTGATGGCCCCGGGTAATTTTTTTAGGAGTTAGTTTTACCATGATGAACCAGGGTTTACATTTATGTCACACTGATGCATAAAGGTTCCCGGATCCCATAACGAGTTTTACCCTAAAACGAGTACCCTACCCCCACCCCCCCCCCCCTCGCCCCCCAGTACCCCCCACCCCCCCTTTCCCGTAACCCCGGAATCCCGATTGACAAGTGTCGAAGCCTGATTTTCGGCCTTGACAGCGCATGTGCTGGCACACATTGGGCCACCATTGGCCAGGCTTACTGTTTCTTTGTATTGAGTGCAAGTATAAAAACTAGTGAACAGGGTTTGTTTTTTATGAACACTGATGCGCCAAGATATATTTTTCCAAAACGGGGAAAACCCTGATGGGAAAGTTTTTTTCACAAGGAGTCACATTGATAATCAGGTTTTTGAGCCTGTGCCACACTGATCTTAAGGGTAGGCTAAATCCAAAAATTTGCCCTGGTCACGACCTTTATAAAACTTAAACTTTAACTTAAACCAATATTCCTAACGGAGGCTTGTAGGATGGACCAGGCAAATTTCATTCGAACCCAATTGTGCATCTCCGTACATGATACGATGAGTAGCTAATATCGGGAAAACGAAATTTCGGGGGCGACCTTGGCTCGATGACTGGAATCTGGATGATGATATGAGCGGTGAAGATATGAGCGGTGAAGATGCTCTCTTGAGTCTCGATCTCTCGATTCCAATCCATGCGATGATTCGCGCGGCAAGGTGTTGTCAGTCGGGCTTGGGCGCTACTGGGATGATCCGTTGGCGTGCCGTGCCTTGCTGTGCGAGTCATATTGGTGCTGTGCTGAGACACAAGTCAAGCAAGCCCAAACATTGACTTCATAGGTTACAGAACGCCTCGCACATCCCTGAGCCTTTTGCATAGATTCGATTTCGCTGCCAGCTTCGCATGACCCGTCCGTGCGACTACTTTCGGATAATCTGCAGGCAATGCAGCGTTCGGAGAATGTAGTCTCAGCACATGCCGTGTAGGTCTATCTAACGAATCCGTCGTTCGTTTTTCAAGGACAGCATGTCTTCTCCTGAGATTCCGCCGCCAACCGCGTGTGTAGCAGACTGGAAGCGCACCAAGCAACGCCTTCTTTTCGCGTCGCTTGTTCTCATATTGGTCGTCGTCGCTCTATTTCTTCACTCCTCGCTCTCAAAACCTGACGTTCTGAATCTCGGAACAGAAGAGACGACGGAAACGCTAACGCAAACGGAATCTGCGCCATCTGCTGCTGTAAGCCAAGCCGAGCTTGCAGAGGGTCCCCAACCTACGCCGGAGCAGCAATCCGAACCAAAGAAACCGTTTGAGCCTAAGCCAGAACGCGAAACCGCGGTTTCGCCATCTACCACTTGCGATCTATCCGTTGGAAGGTGCGTCAGTCGGCAAATGTACACATCGCGTTGTGAACCGCATGGAACGTCTGCTGTGAAATGCACACACGCAACCTGTTGGAAATGCACACACGCAACCTGTTGGAAATGCACACACGCAACCTGTTGGAAATGCACACACGCAACCTGTTGGAAATGCACACACGCAACCTGCATGGTATGTCAGGTGACAAATACACGCATGCGACGTGCATGGTATGTCAGGTGACAAATACGCAGATGCGACCTGCATGTTATGTCAGGTGGCAAATGCACACACGCGACGTGCATGGTATGTCAGGTGACAAATACACACATGCCACCTGCATGTTACGTCAGATGACAAACACACACGCGACGTGCATGTTATGTCAGGTGACAAATACACACATGCGACCTGCATGTTATGTCAGGCTAGAGCTGCAGGAGCCGAATCTTAATGCATACCTATGCATGTGACAAAAAGCACGAGTACCGTTGTTTCATATCATACCCAACCCTGTGACAACAGCCGGGCGCTACCCCGTTACTCCATCCGCAATGCATGGGTGAGAGTAGCAGGAGCCTAATCCTGCTTCACCCTCCTGTTTCCCCTGCCCTCCCCACGCCACCAGCTGGGTGGCAAACCCGTCCCGCCAGCCACAGTACACAGGCGAGAGCTGCAAGAGCCTGAGTCGGGCGTTCAACTGCCAGCGCAACGGGCGTGTCAACATGCGGTACCTGCAGTACGAGTGGCGCAGCCCTGGCTGCCGCATTGAGAGGTGCGTATGGGTTGTGAAAGGTTCCGTATGGGTTGTGAGAGGTACCGTATGGGTTCTGAGAGGTACCATATGGATTGTGAGAGGTACCTGCCGGTACCAACGTGTGTGTGAGGTTCAGGCCTCATGCCTTGAGGTACCTGCAGTACCAGTGGCGCAACCTCGGATGCTGCATTGAGAGGTGTGTACGAGGGGCTTGTGAGAGCCAGAGGCAAATGGTTAAGGGTGCTGTGCTCCGCTGCACAGTATGCTTGCGACGTTTTAGGCCGCAGCCTTTGAGAGAGAGGCATGGCTTGAGCTTTGATGTAGTAAGAGGTCTGTGCCGTGACCAGCTGCACATTGCACAACATGCTTGTGAGTGCAACGGGTCTCATGCTTTCACATGCCTGCAACATGACTGGCATATATGATATCCCACAAAACGCACCAATTATCCTGAACCTTTCGGTGCATCTTCCGCATTGCCCCATGTCCAGGTTCGATGCATCTGCCTTCCTGGAGCACATGCGCAACAAGGTGTTTCTGGTCGTGGGGGATTCTGTCTCCATGAATTTCTTTGGAGCCCTACAGTGCCTCCTCGAGACAGCCACTCCGACCAAGGTGTGTTACACTGTCCAAATTCATTGTATCAGCCTTCCTGCGTGGCGATATTAGTTGCGTCTCTTCATGAAGCTCTTGCCACTCTTCAGTGCCTCATCCAGACAGCCACTCCAACACGTGTGTTAGGTCGCATACCAGACTCGTAAAAAGTGACTTTCAAACAAGTTTGGTGAGAATCGAGCACACTGATTGGCGAGTAAAGGATCATCAACAGTCGTGAAGCGTCGTCATGTGGTGGCTTGTTACGAAGTAGGTTGTTCAGCCATATGATTAGGCGAGCAGCAGTCTAAAAGAAATCTTTAGCAAAGGATTAACAGTACGATCTGTTGTTGTTCCTGCTAAAAACAACCCGGCTGAAGGTGCTTGTTACGAAGTAGGTTGTTCGTAACAACCCGGAATGCGACCTTACACTGTCAAGGTTCAACGCATCTGCCTTCCAGAAAAACGCCTGCAAAGCAGAATGCATCTGGTTTCTTCCTTGTCTTTTTTCCACCAGATTTTCAAGGCTTCCCTGCCTCGACACGTCCCCTTCCCTCCTTTCACCTTTGCCCTCCCAAACCTGTTGGCCCAGTAACCTCACCTCTTCTTCTCCCAAACCCCCTTGGCCCCTTACCCTCACCCCTTCCCCTCCCAACCCCCGTTGCCCCCATACCCGCACCCCTTGCCCTCCCAGCCCCTGTTCATGCAACCTTCCCTTCCTCCACACTCATATTTCTACCTGCCTGCCCTCCCAACCCGCCCAGGGATGGCCCGCTGTTCCCAGGAGGACCAAACACTTATGCTGTGATTGCACCACACCTCAATGCTCACTTCCCTTCCTCCACACTCGTCCTGGTTTTACCCGCCTGCCCTCCCAACCCCCATGGACAGAGCAGGGATGGCCCGCTGTTCCCAGGAGGGCCAAGAACTCGCGCCTTGATTGCACCGCAATTCAATGCCACCTTCCTAAGCCACGCCTCCTCCTTCCTCGTCCAATCTACTCCCAGTGTAAGCCTCTGCTGCTGTCAATCCATTCTGCCATGTGTACCTGGTAGTGAGGCGCACCGTATTCAACCTTTGTTAAATCTCAAAACACGACTCCTCCCTCCTCGTCCAGTTTATTCCCAGAGTAAGCCCCCGCTGCTGCCAGCCTATCCTGCCATGTTTACCTGAGAGTGATATGCACCGTATTCGACTTATGATGCATCTTAGAACATGCCTCCTTGTTCCTCGACCCATCTATTCTCAGTGTAAGCCTTAGGTGCTGCCAAGCAAGCCATGCTGCCAGGCAAGCCATGCTGCCAGGGAAGCCATGCTGCCAGGCAAGCCATGTTGCCAGGCAAGCCATGTTGACATGTATAGCTGAAAGTGAGCAACACAGTACTTGACTCGCATTCGATTCTTGTCCAAGTGTAACGGCTCTCGTGAGTCGAGTCGAGTTGAGTCAGCTTTCACGCCTTGCCTTTTCTCGTTCAGTTTTACTCGCAAATATGAATCACTACTCGCGTCATGGTGGCATCTTTTAGTCTAACATATCGTCCTGCGTGCTCTCCCTTCCCTCTTGCAACCAAGGCTCTGAGCCAATGCCATTGCAAGCACCTGGACGGTGCATCTAGATCAGGCGCATCTGGATCAGGCGCATCTGGATCAGGTGCATCTGGATCAGGTGCATCTGGATTAGGCGCATCTGGATCAGGTGCATCTGGATCAGGCGCATCTGGGTCAGGCGCATCTGGATCAAACACATCTGGATCAGGCGCATCTGGATCAGACGCATCTGGATCAAACGCATCTGGATCAGGCGCATCTGGATCAAACGCATCTGGATCAGGCGCACCTGGATCAGGCGCATCTGGATCAGGCGCATCTGGATCAGGCGCATCTGGATCAAACGCATCTGGATCAGGCGCATCTGGATCAGGTGCATCTGGATCAAACGCATCTGGATCAGGCGCATCTGGATCAGGCGCATCTGGATCAAACACATCTGGATCAGGCGCATCTGGATCAGACGCATCTGGATCAGGCGCATCTGGATCAAACGCATCTGGATCAGGCGCATCTGGATCAGGCGCATCTGGATCAGGCGCATCTGGATCAGGCGCATCTGGATCAAACGCATCTGGATCAGGCGCATCTGGATCAAACGCATCTGGATCAGGCGCATCTGGATCAGGCGCATCTGGATCAGGCGCATCTGGATCAGGCGCATCTGGATCAAACGCATCTGGATCAGGCACATCTGGATCAGGCGCATCTGGATCAGGCGCATCTGGATCAGGCGCATCTGGATACCACCTGCTGCTCAACCCTATTGTCTGGTGCCTCCTCCCATCTGCCTCACCAGGGCAACAAGTCCACTGCAAGCACAAGGATGACGCATCTGACCCGGGTGCATTTGGATCGCATTACCTCCCCTGTGTTCAACCCTGTGATCCTGTACCTGTGACTCCTCCAATCTCCCCTCTCCCCTCCCCCCTCTCCCTTTCCCCTCTCCCCTCTCCCTTCTTCCCTCTCCCCTCTCCCCTCTCCCCTCTCCCCTCTCCCCTCTCCCCTCTCCCCTCTCTCCTCTGCCACACCAGCGTGATAGGACCACAGCCAGCCCGTGGACGGTGCACCTGTACTGCTCCTGTTGCTCACTCCATGCTCCTCTGCAACCTTCCCTTCCCCTCACCCCTCTCCACTCTCCCCTCTCCACTCTCCCCTCTCCACTCACCCCTCTCCACTCTCCCCTCTCCACTCTCCCCTCTCCGTTCTCCCCTCTCCACTCACCCCTCTCCACTCTCCCCTCTCCACTCTCCCCTCTCCACTCTCCCCTCTCCACTCACCCCTCTCCACTCTCCCCTCTCCACTCACCCCTCTCCACTCTCCCCTCTCCACTCTCCCCTCTCCACTCTCCCCTCTCCACTCTCCCCTCTCCACTCTCCCCTCTCCACTCTCCCCTCTCCACTCACCCCTCTCCACTCTCCCCTCTCCACTCTCCCCTCTCCACTCTCCCTCTCCCTCCTCTGCCTCAACAGGGCGATAGGACCACGGCGAGCACATGGACGGTGCATCTGGACCAGGTGCATCCTAATTGGTCGCCTGTGCTTCCATACTCCGACTATGTGGTCTTTGGGACCGGAGCTTGGTACACCATTGTGAGTTCAATACGCCCTAAAATATAGTGCTACAGGTTGCATAATTGATATTTATGTAGCCGAGCCAAGCCAGGACCGCATAGTCACCATGCAAACTGCCCTCCATACAGTCATCTCCCCTCAACCCTTCAACCCAATTCTTCCTCCCCTCTTTTCCGCACCTCCCCCTCCGGGCCAATCTCAAGAAGTGGCACTACAGGGGGGCAACAAAGTGCCGCCAAGCCGTTTCAGATGTCTCAGAAGCCCTGCACCCCTGCTCCTCACCTCACCTCCGCCCCATCACCCCCCTCCAGGCCAACCTCAAGTGCTCCGCAGCTATGTAAATGCGCGAGCACTCATCTGTCTTCCACCCTTCAACATTATTCTTCATCCGCCCCCGACCTCCCCTCTCCAGGCCGACCTCAAGAAGCGGCACTACATGGTGGGCAACAAGGAGCAGCCAAGCCTTTTCAGGAGCCTTGAAAGTCCGTCACCCCAACTCTTCCCTGTTCCCTCCCACCTCCCCTCTCCAGGCCAACCTCAAGAAGCGGCACTACATGGTGGACAATAAGGAGCAGCCAAGCGAGAACCGCATGGCCACCATGCAAACCGCCCTGCACACAGTCGCACGTTTCACGCGCAGCATCAACTACACGGGGGTGCCCATGCTGCTCACCTACTCGCCCGTGCACGAGAAAGTGAGACTCAACAGCACGGCTCGCGAGCTCGGCTGTAGCTCCTACATGCGCCCCGTGGGGGTGGAGGCTCTGGAAGGGGCACAGTGGGCTGCAGATGCGATGGACGCTCGGAACGCACAGATAGAGGTGGGTTTGGAGCGGTGCTGAGGGGCTGGGATGGAATAGGTTGTTGCTCCTACATGCGGCCGGTGGGGCTGGAGGTTCTGGAAGGGGCGTGGTGAGCTACAGATGCGATGGACGCTCGGAACGCACAGATAGAGGTGAGGTCTAGGAGGTGATGTGGGTGGTGGGGTGAGCGATGAATGAATGCTGGGGTTTATTCTAGGTTTAAGTCACTTCCGGCTGTAGCGCGGACATGCAGCCTCTGAAGCCGGGTGCTGTGGCAGCTACAGCTGCAGCCGCAGCGCTGTGCACTACAGGCATCCAGAGGCTCGAAACACGCAGATTGAGGCGAATTGGTGAGCTGTAGCGTGCTGTAGCATTTCTTTGCCTGCGGCTGGGTATAACTGCATCTGTAACCCAGGGGCTACATATGCATTGGAGGCTTAACATACACAATCAGGGTGAGTATAGTAGGGTGCCAAGTGTGAATGATCGGGACGATCAGGCTCAAGCTCCCTGCTGGTTCTGCACAGGACAGGATGCATGCTGTCGGTGCCTTGGAGGCTCCCAGCAAGCGCGCAGTACATACTGTGGATTTGCGCATCTCTGTAATGTGTACACCGTATCTGATGCTGCTTGTGTTGCAGGTTGTGCAGCAATATGAGGAGTTCAGAGTGGTTGATGTGACCCCACTCTCTGTTTTTCGGCCAGACGGGCACCTTCAGAACCACTGTGAAAGTCCCAAGGGTGTTGATTGCCTGCATTGGTGCCTACCTGGCATACCAGATACATGGTCTGATATTCTTTATTCTCATGTTATGGACTACATATAGATAACACAGTACTTTTAGGCAGGTAAATACAGTATATTGAAGGTACTGTATCTTAAAAAATAGAGGTTTCCGGTCACTGTAGTTTGATTTATTTCTTGTTATTCATAACAAAGTTGTAGATGAGATCAGACCACATGTCAGGTACACCAGGGATGCACCAATGGGCGCAGTCAAATCCGCCATCCCCTTTATTGTGGTTTTTAAGATGAGCATCAGGGCGGAAGAGCGTGGAATATGTGATGTCCAGAACCTTGAAGTTCTTCGCTTTGCGTAGAATCTGCAAGCACCAATACATGGTTGGAATGGAACAACAGGAATTCATAAAACTTATGCCTATTGAACCTGTACAGACTTCTCAGAAAGGTCAATTCCATACCCGCCATTGTAGCTGCTTCATCGTTAGATAGACAGGCGCACGCAGGAAAATAAGCACAACGTAGGTACACGCACGCACACATACATGAAAACACACACACGCACACACACGCACAAGGACAAAATCATACACACTGACGATCCCACACCTACATTCCCTTCACCAGAAAAGCATCACCTCCGGCCCATTTTCCCACCTGCACTTGCGCATTCCGCGTCCGCATGTCTTCAACTGCCCATTCCCTCTGCGACACCTGGCGCCATCCGATTGGCCGCCACGCGTCCGTGCAATTATACTGTGCCCCTCTAGCCGCCTCCGTGCCCGCGAGCTCGAATCCGTAGTGGGAGGAGGTGAAGGAGAGGAACATGGGGAGGCCGCGGTATTTAAGGCGGTTGAAATGGGTGATGAGGGTGGTTAGAGCGGTTTGCATGGTGATGAGCTGGTCAGGGTTCCAAGCGAGCTGCGTGGTGCTGTTGCTCAAGTAATAGTGGCGCTTCTCCTCCCGTGCCTGCAGGCAAAGCAAGGGAGGGATGAACAGCGAAACAAGAGAGCTGAGTGGTGCTGTTGCTGAAGTAAGAATGGCGCTTGTGCCGACAAGACAAGACAGTGCCACTTTTCCCCCCCGAAGCTTGTATGACAAGGTAGCTTGGAATGGAGTTCCTGCTGCTAAAGAAATGGTGCTGCTTGTGCTCCCACCCAGGGCTTTAAGTGGAATCTAAGATGGAGGGTGCAGAGACAACAGAGGATGGACCGATGGAGGGTGGTGGGGGCAGAAGAGGGTGGCAGTACCGAGTGCTCATTATAAGCTGACTCAGTTCAGAGTAGCATACACTGGTGTACCAATAGCCAGTGCTTGATAAAAATTGACTCGTTGAGAGTAACATACGCTGGTGTACACTGGTGTACCAGCCTGTGCCTAACACATCAATCATGTACCAGCTTGTGCCTATCACATCAATCAAAACATGCCAACCAGCCCAACGTACACTGGTGTACCAGTAGCCGGTGCTCATGACCACATAGTCGGTGAATGGCAGCAGATCCGCCCATTCGGGGTTGACCCGATCCAGCCATACCGTCCACGTGCTCTTCACACTCCTTTCTCCCTGCGCCACCGAACAGGGTTGAAAAGGGGTGGAGGGGGAATAGCATGATAGAAAAAAAAGGGATGACATTATAGACAACAACAGGTTCACCCAATTCAGCCATAGCGTCACACACCTGCACAACCATACCTGTCCGTCCACATGCTCCTCACACTGCGCTCGCCCTGAGCAATGAGAAAGACAGAGAGATGACAAATATAGAGAAAGTTAGATAGAGGGAGAGATGAAATAACAACATAGACTGTGGAGGATAGGTATAGGTTTTTGAATGCTTGCAAATCTGGTTTGCCTTACTGTCACTTACTACATGTATTGTGCTGCATTCCACATGTTTTTGCAACACGCACTGTACAGTCACACAGTAAATGTCTCGCGTAGTATAGTGCATGCATCGATACTGTCACACACACACGTCACACTTCACATGTGTATATCTGGGTACTCACATCAGGTTTGCTGCGCTGCACACTCACATGCAGCACGCTTTGCATTGCATGTTCTTATCTCGGTGCACACATCAGGTTCACGTTCACTCACACAGTACAGCCATGCTCCATCCATGCATGTTTATCTGGTATGCATGCTTATCTGGTATGCATGCTCCATCCATGCATGCTTATCTGGTGCATGCTCCATCCATGCATGCTTATCTGGTGCATGCTCCATCCATGCATGCTTATCTGGATACGCACGTCAGGTTCGCCGTACAGGAGGAAGGCGGAAGCAATGCGGATGATGGTGGCATTGTGCGACGGCACTCTGAAGCCCCTTGCCGGCACGCCCGTCTTGAACAGAGTCCCATTGAAGTTCTGCGCACGGCGAGAGGTGTGGGGGGAAGGAAGGGCGTGAGTGGGGTGAAGAAAGGGCATTGTTTGGTGAAGAGCGCAACGCGGATGATGGTGGCTTTGTGGGACGGCACTCTGAATTGCCTCGCAGGCACCCCAGGTTTGAATAGGCTCCCATTCAAGTTCTGCAGTGCAGCAGACAATGTGGGGCCAGGTAGGATGAAGGGAGTGAGTGGGGTGAAGGAAACCGTGCGGATGGTGGTGGCATTGTGGGACGGCACTCTGAAGCCGTTTGAGGGCACGCCCGTGTTGAAGAGATTCCCCTCGAGGCTCTGCAGATAGCACGGTGTGGCGTGGTATGGTTTGAGAAAGGGGCGTGGGGAGAGGGAGGGGCGTGGGGAGAGGGAGGGGCGTGGGGAGAGGGAGGGGCACGGCATGCCTGGAGAAGATATTACCATCGAAATACTGCACACGGCATTGTAGGGTAGGTCGCATCTCACCTGCGTCACTGCGACGGACTCGATGAGGCACCGGACTGGATGGATGCGTGCAGGTGGGGGGCGTAGGAGTGTGCCGCTATAGCTGCCATCGTAGGGTAACCACTGTTGTAACCACCACCATTGTAGGGCAGGTAGCATCTCACCTGCGCCACTGCAACGGACTCGATGAGGCATCGGATTGACGCGTGCAGGTTGAGCGCGTACGAGTGAGCCACGGCTGCAAGCCTAGGGCTACTAGTAACCTGCATCGCACCTGAGTGACCGCGACGGACTCGATGAGGCATCGGAAGGACGCGTGCAGGTTGAGCGCGTACGAGTCCCCGACGATCATAAACACCTTGTTTCGCATCAGCGCGAGGAAGGCCGCAGGGTCGAAGCTGGTGAGGAATGGGTGGTGTTGCGCATCAGAAAGGGGGGAGTGGGCGGAAAGAGGGCGTACGAGTCCCCGACGATCATGAACACCTTGTTGCGCATCAGAGCGAGGAAGGGCGACTTGTCGAAGCTGGTGGGGGGAAAGTGGGATGAGGGACGAGGGATGATGAGGCGAGGAAGCTGGTTGGAGGAAATGGGGAGTGGGGGGAAGGAGGGCGTGCGAGTCCCCCACGATCATGCAGACCTTGTTGCGCGCGAGGAAGGCCGAGGGGGCGAAGCTGGCAGTGTAGGGGGGCTGTAAAATTGGGTGGAGGAAATAACGGGATGAATGACGGTGAATTGCGGTGGGCGACAGCAGGAGGCGAATAATCGCTTGATGCTACAGCCGGTATTGGCTTACCGCTTGATGCTACAGCCGGGATTGACTCACCGCTTGATGCTACAGCCGGGATTGACTCACCGCTTGATGCTACAGCCGGGAATACGCCACTCGTAATCGAGGTATTTGAGGTTGGGGCGCCCGTTCTTCTCACAGCTGTAGCACGGGTCGACGCTCCTGCAGCTGACATTGACTCACCGCTTGAGGCTACAGCCGGGAATGCGCCACTCATAATCGAGGTATTTGAGGTTGGGGCGCCCGTTCTTCTCGCAGTTGTAATGCGTATCGATGCTCTTGCAGCTGAGACCCGTGTAGCGCCGCGGCTGAAAGTGGGTTCGCATCCAGCTGGGAGGGGTGCAATGCGGTGGGGGACGGGGGCGAGAAGAGGTGGAGGGTGCATTGGGCAGGGGGGGGAAGTCGAAGAGGATACGATGAAATGAATGAGAACGAGGAAACGGAAAGGTGAATGGGGAAAGAGGAGGAAATAAAGAGACGGGAGGCGCCCCATGTGTTCGGAAGTAAGTTCGCATTTAGCTGGGAGGTGTGCAATGCAAGACCCAGCCGTGTGGGTGCCGCGGCCGGAAGCGGGTGCGAACCCAGCCGAACGCCAGAGGGGGAAGAGCGCGATATAGAGTGAACAGATAGCAGGTGTAACGAGGCGGGGGGGAACGAATGAGCCGGTAGCAGCTTACCGGCCGGCGAGCATATCACATCGGTTACCAGCCGGTTTCTTTTCGGAAGCTGTGGTAACCCTATTGGTTGTGGTAGCAACCCCGCCAGCTGCGGTAACCCCGCCGGCTGTGGTAAACCCCGTCGCTGTGGCTAGATCGGCTGAGGACGCCGCTGACGTTGGCGACGCTCGCAGCTGTAACAATGTAACCGACAGCAGCATCTGTAACAGTGCCGTTGACAGTAGAGCGTGTGCACGACGGGCCATCGTATCGAGGTGTAGCTAACGAGCCACGTGGAGCTTCAGTGGCCACGTGACGGTACTTGATTGGCAACTTGCAGCGTAGCGCGACAACCGAGCAACTTCCGAGTCTGGTCAGAATATTTATATTAGTCACACCGCGTACATGTCGAGGCGCGCCTACAGCTCGGACGATAAGCTCTAAGAACCTCCTGTCAGCGCTAACTGAGATTGCGGGCTGTGGGACGTGCCAACCAACCGATCTGACCAATCACATGCTAAGTTCTAGACCAACTTCAGTCAAGGAAGAGGCGAAGGATGAGAAGATGGCCATGAAACACGGGCTGGTGGCGAAGAGTGAGGGCACGGACTTATTGTGGGAAGTCAGGAACACGGGAGGGGAAGGAAGTGAGCGGAGAAAGTGAGCTACAGCCTACAAGTCAGGACAGAGGTGGAGTATTGAGATGGGGGGAATCGGTCGCATGCGAAGCACGACTGCAAAGCACGACTTTTATCTGACTGACATCCTCGCCCTACCGTCCACCGATGCACGTATGAGAAGGCGAAGGATGGAGGAGAGCCGTCGATGTAGCAAAACTGGCCTGCTGCAAGAACTACTTAACCGCTTTAGATTCAAAACAAAACGTTTTGCATCCCACCAGAATGCACTGAGCTGCAGGAAAAATTAGCCGTTGCCAATTTGGAATCTGGTGAGTAGGTGGGTGGTGAATCTCGAGTCGCAATTCGGGTTCAGACCGAGGCGCTGATGCGGTGTGTGACTAAATCGAGTTCAGGACGACCGACCAAATTGTCAATACCTCCTGGAAGAAATGTTTTCTGAAAGTTATGTAAGTGTAAGGAAAATTCCTTTTCCTTACTTCGCGTCCCCGCTCAGCGAGTACACCACTGTAGCACCACAGTCAGCACCGTTACCACTCGCAAACCCTCGCATCGACAATCCTCCCGCCACCTTCGCACTCCGACCTCACGGCTCGGCGGGTAACTGTGAAACTATGAGCAGAGGAATGAATTGACTAAGTCAGAGTTGGGTACAAATACAACCCTAGCAAACTGTACCCCATATGTGCTACCCCACTATAGCCTACAAACATGCATCAGATATAATAATCTGACACACCCCCATAGGCAAAGTGGGGGAGAACAAGGGGTCACAAGACCAGTCAAGCAAAGCAAAACAAGCTCAGGGTGGATCACAAAGTCACCACACAGTCCGAGCACAAGAGCAAGGCCAGAGGCCAGTTCACATGCAGGAGTAAAGACATATATATAAAACTAGACAAGCAAGAGCAGGTATATATATGTCAAAGTACAAGTAAAGTCAAGAAGAGAGCAAGTGAGGCAAGACAGGTACAAGACCCAGCTGGGTACAAAAGCGCTGATGGTCGCAAGGCGCAAGTGCCTTGGTGAACACATCAGCAGTGTTGGCCTCAGAGGCCACGTAAGCAAGTCGCAACTGACCACGCTGCTGCAGCTCACGAGCAAGGAAGTAGCGGAGAGCAATGTGCTTCGTTCTGTGCTCCAAGCGCTGCTCTCGACACAAGGCCAACATGGCCTTGTTGTCTACGTACAGCACTGGAGGAGAACGAGGCAGCTCTCCAAGGTCAGTCAGCAGGTAGGTGAGCCAGCGAAGCTCCTGTGCAGCCATGGCCCCGGCGTAGATCTCAGCCTCACAACTGGAGCCGAGAACCGAAGACGAGCGAGTAGACCGCCACGAGACAGAGCCGGAACCAAGGCTGAAGGTGTAACCCTGTGACGACCGCTGCGTAGCCTGGTCGTCAGCCCAAGAAGCGTCTGCGTGCCCAGTAAGGACCACTGGACTCCGCCCTCCAAGCACTAGCCCCATGCCCGACGTACTGCACAGGTAGCGCAATACCCTCTTCGCTGCAGCCATGTGCTCTGGTCGGTGTCTCCCAGGAGCAACATAGCGTGCAAGGATGCTCAGAGGGTATGCAAGGTCAGGTCGAGTGCAGGTCATCAGGTACATGAGGCAGCCAACAAGCTCTGCATACGGACCACTCGACTCTACGGACTCATCCGAAGGCAGAGCTGAGAGTGAGTGGCGAGTAGGCAGAGGAGTGGCCTGAGGCGAGGAGTACGTGAAGCCGAAGCGCTGAAGGACCTGCTGCACCATGTGTGACTGAGTCAGGGTAATGGTGCGGCGTGCTCTGTCCCGAGTGATCTGCAAGCCAAGGTAGCTGCGCAGTTCACCCAGGTCTGTGCACGTGTGTCTCTTCAGCAGCTCGGACTTCACGTAGGCGAGTCCAGCAGTGTCCGCTGTGGCAAAGACCAAGTCGTCGACGTACACGAGGATGTAGAACGGCGGCAGGGAAGTGTCGGTGCGAAGAAACAGCGACGGGTCAGCAGTAGAAGGAGCAAACCCAAGAGCCGCAAGCGTAGTCCTCAGTGTGTCGTGCCACTCACGCGGTGCCTGGCGGAGACCGTAGACTGGCCGTCGGAGGCTCCACTGGGTGCCAGGAGGGAAAGTCCCAGTGAAGCCAGGCGGACGGCGCAGCCAGATCTCCTCGTGCAGGCTACCCTGCAGGAACGCAGTGCTGAAGTCGAGAGAGTGAAGCTCGTAGTCGCGCTGAGCGGCAATGTGCAGCAGCACCCGAAGAGTGGTCATCTTCGGGGTGGGAGAGAAGGTCTGAAAGTAGTCAACTCCCTGCCGCTGACTGAAGCCACGAGCCACGTAACGCGCCTTGAAGACAGGCGGCGAGCCCGGCGGCCGCTTCACCCTGAAGATCCACATGCCACTGACGATGTTCGCCCCAGGAGGGGGAACCGCGTCAACGTAGGTGCCTGTGGACTTCCAGGAAGCCATCTCTGCATCCATAGCTGCCTGCCACTGAGAGGAGTAGGGACCCTCTACGGCCTCCGCGTAAGAACGCGGAGTCGGGATGTCTAGTGCATCCGGGTCTCCCTCAGGGGCTAGCAGTACAGACGCGAGACGAGGTGAAGCAGCGGCTAGACACTGGAACTCCTCCTGCCTGTCCTCTAGGACGTCCGTGCCAAGGGCACACTCACCCCCGACGGACGGAGGACAGGCGGACTCAGACTCAGCGACAAGACGAGCAGCGTAGTCTAGACGACAGCGCGCAGCAAAGTCGACAAGCTCAGTGACAAGGGCAGACGCAGCAGACGACTCGAAGGAAGGGTCAGTGACAGCAGTAGCAAGGAGACGCGTGACAGTAGGACTGGCAGCACGAAGAGAGTCCGACTCCGGGTCGGCAAGAGCCGGAAGAGAGGAAGCAGGAGGAGAAGGCAAAGGGGCACGCAGAGGAGCAGTGGACGGACGCAGTGACATCCGGTGCGTGCCAGGGACAGGAGGAGGACGCTGACGCGACCCGCGACCACTAGCGCGCTCAGTACGAACAGGCGACGCAGGACGAGACGCAGGCTCACGACGCTCAGTAAGACCTCCAGTCGGACCAGCGTAGGGAGAAGGAGCAGGCAAAGGGGAGGCAGGCTGTAGCTGTGGCTGTGACCGGACAGGCTGCGGACCCTCTAAGGAAGGAGGAGGAGGTGTAAGACCAAGAACCTGCTGCAGGAGCGGAACGAAGTACGGTCGAGGCCGCGCGGCGACGCCAGAAACAGCAGGAACAGCACCAGCACCCCCGGCAGGAGCACTCACTCCAGCAGCACCTCCAGCAGAACCACCAGAAGCTCCAGAACCTCCAGCAGCAGCACCAGGAGCACCGTCAGTCGGACCACCAACCGCAGGCTCAGCGCCAACGTCCTCAGCAGGACCAGCTCCAGGAGAACACTCAGACCCAGCAGCTCCAGCACCCACAGGACGAGCACCGCCAGGTCGCGTGGCAGCAGCGCCCTCCGCAGCCGAAGAACCACCAGCACCAGCGGCACGCCTCCAGCGCCGGGCAAACCACTCACGCAGCTCCTGTGGAGAGAGCGGCTCCCGGTGAGACGAAGCACCCCCAGGCACAGCACCTCCAGGCTCGGCACCTCCCGGCTCAGCACCCCCAGGCTCAGTACCCCCAGACACAGCACCCCCAGGCACAGCACCCCCAGGCTCAGCACCCCCAGGCTCAGCACCCCCAGGCCCAGTACCCCCAGACTCCGCACCCCCAGGCTCAGCACCCCTAGACTCCGCACCCCCAGGCTCAGCTCCCGCAGCAGCACCGGAGTCACCAGTGACCTCGACAGGCTCGACCGCGTCTACCTGAGACACACCTGAAGGGGCAGGACCCTGAGGGGGGAGGGGGACTACTGGGGGGGGACCTGGAACCAAGAAGAGGGGGGGTGGGGGGAGGGACGGAGTGCGGTAGGGGAAGAGGCGGTAGTAGGGTACCGACTCGTCGAACGTGACGTCCTGGGAGGACAGAACACGTCGAGAGGTGGGGTGGTAAAACTGCCACCCAGGGGCGTCGGGGGGGAACCCGAGGAAGACGCAGGGAGAAGCACGAGGGGACAGCTTGTCCGCAGACAGGTCGCGAACAAACGCCCGAGATCCCCAGACCCGGAACGCCGACGCATCGCCAACCTTCCCCGTCCACAACAGAGCTGGGGAGGTCTCCGGTCGAGAGACCCTGGGGTGGAGGTTGATCTGGTGCGCAGCGTACCTGACCGCAAACGGCCACAGAA